CAGCCATTTATCTGAAAAAGATGGAGAATTCTGGTAGATTGGGGAGCCACATTTCAGGAAGAGCACCCATAAGCTGAAGGGCATACAGTGGAAGATGATTACTATGGCTAAAGGCCTTGAGAAAATGTTAAATGCAGAGCAGTTAAAGGAATTGGGGATATCAGCCTGGAGAAAAGAGCACTTGGGGATGGGGAAGTAATAGTTACCTTCAAATATTTGAACTGAGGTTATACAGAAGAGGGACTAAATTCTTCTGCTTGGTCCCAGATGGCAGAATTAGGGGAAACAAGTAGAAATGATAGAGAGGTAGCCTTCGACTTTTTTGCAAAATAAGAAAAAAACAACGTCCCACCAATTAGAGCTATCGCAAAGTGGGATGGACTGCTTGAGGAAATGGTTGGGCTCCCCATCCATCACTAGAGGTCTTCAAGCAAAAGCTAGATGACTGCTAGTTGGGTATGGTAAAGACAGGGTTCTTATTTAAATTCAGGAAAGATAGGCTAGTTTCTGAGAACCTTTATGACTTTGTGATTCTGGGATTATACTTACTTTTGGGGGCCTCTTCTTAAAGTAAAATTTGGCCACTTAACTCTATTTAATGAGCAAATTTAATTATTGAGTTTATGTACTCTAACACAGGAAATCTGCTCACGTTGAGTAAACACATTCAAAAGCAAGCATGTCAATATAATAGATTTAACACATTTCTGCAGATATCAAAGAGAAAAGCTCACAAATCAAAGTTGGCTTTAGGGCGAAGTCTTTGGCAAACAAGCAAGAACTTAATAAAAATAAGTCTTGGAAACAGCACAGATTCTGTTTGTTAACTGATGGGACAATATGCACACACATACTGAACAAAAGTCCTGGAAAGCTTGGCAATCACAGAGAATGTGACTCAAAGGTTATTACAAGTGTGAAGCTGCAGGGCAGGAATGTAAGCATATCAATCTATCTAGAGAAGCAGGAAACTATGCTGAAGTAGCACAAGCTACTTACTAAAAACAAATCCATTAACAAACCAACTGCTAGTTCAATTATCATCTGTTGTTGTTCAGTTGTTGTCAGTTCTGTCTGACTCTTCATGACCCCATTGGGGGTTTTCTTGGTAAAGTTACTGGAGTGGCTTGCCATTTCCTTCTCCAGCTTATTTTATAGATAAGGAAACTGAGGCAAGCAGGGTTAAGTAACTTGCTCAGGGTCACACAGCTTATCCATGTCTCCAAGCCCAGTACTCTACCCATCGTGCCACCTAGCTGCCCCTCATAGTTATCATTAAGCAGTTGGCAGCAAATTTAACCAAGCAATATGCAAAAGTCAAGAAAATTTAAGGGACTATTGGTCATTAAAAGAAAACTTAGGTGGCTACCACAGAGCTAAAGCAAAGGAAGTGTTGGCCATATCAGTTCATGCCAGGAGACCACCCAGGTTTCTTCATTGCTGAAATCTTACTCTAATAACCTAAAATGAACTTTATAAGCTAAACTATGTAAACATTTAAATTTCAGCTAAAATGAAAATTTTCCCCTTATCAGTTTGTAACTCTGCTTAGAATTATGTAAAATTTTAAAAAGAATAGTTATGGAAGGTAAGAATCGAAGGCAACTTTCAGAGAATTAATTGCTTTTACTAGAAGCTGGAAATAAAATCTTGTCATGAAATAATAACTCACATTTGCATAACATTTTACTCTTTGCAAATGTTTTACCTAAATTATCTCACTTTTGTCAATCAATCAATCAATAAACATTCATTAAGCACCTAGTATATGCTAAGCACTATGCTAATAAGCACTGGATCTTCACAACAATCCTGTGAAAGAAATACTATGGGCATTATTAGCCTCACATTGCAGTTGAGGAAACAGAGGCTCAGAAATGGTAAATAACTTTCTCGTGGTCACATAGAGAAGAATATCGGATTCACACTCTGGTCTCTCCTGATGTCTTTTTCCATTGTACTGTGCTGCCTTTTTAGTAGAAAATGCAGCATGTAAGCCTGATGTCCATTTCACACTGCTTGACAAATTTGCCTTCAATCCAGGAACCAACTTCAATATTAAAGAACCAGATTACTTTTTCGGCTTTCAAGAGATAAAAAAGCAGCATTTTACTCCAGGGCACTTGCTTTGATCCATAGGTCAAGAACCAAATTAAATTCCCAATGAGCTATAGCAGGGTTTAAAGGGATCCAAAAGACAGCTCACCTCATCTAGACAAGGCACTCTCTGGGCCATATTCTAGTAAATTGAATTGCTTGGGTACAACGGCAACCTGGAACCTCAGATTTTCAACCCTGTCTTACAGTATGAGTAAGGATGCTAAGGGAATGGTGTTGCATAGTACATGCAAAGGAATTTTTAAACTCCTCCCTCCCACTTCCCCTTCCCCTAAACAACATACCATGCATACATTCAATAAAATGGTAAGATGCTATACCAGGGTCAATGAATGCTGTAGTTACCACTATTTATCCCAAATGGTAGGTGTGGATGCAGTTAGCTTACAGCACTTTCAGAATTTTGAATTATCCACTCAATAGCAGCCCACCCCTGGAGCAACACAGAAAAGATTTACAAAATGGAGTGAGAAACTCTTCATCTGTCACTCTAGAGCATTGGCAATAAAGCTGCAAAAAAAAAAATACCAGAATGAGAAAAAAAAAGCCTACAACAGTTGAATGGAACAGTAAAGGCCCTACTTTCCCCAGCAGGCTTTTAACATTTGTAGGTTATTCCTTAGGTTCAGAAATAAGATGCTGTTCATTCAGTACTCACAAATTCTTTCCCATGTGAACAGACTATCTGTTAGGTTCAAGATCTCATATACCAGGGGTCTTTATTAGCAAGCTGAATTTTCACTCACTTCCCTGAGATTGGGGGAGATAAAGGAGCCTCCTCACTTATGACATGCACAGTCAGTCCAGTGAAAGTCACTGGCATAAGAACCGTTGGCAATACTCTGATCTAGGAACAATGTTCCCTCAGCTTTCCTAGGAGCCAAGACAAGGGGACCCAGGGTACCAGAGGGGAAGGGATGGTTAGAGGAATAGAGCTCTGGAGAAGGTTCTCTACCTCCAAAACATGTGCCTACTCCTCTCCATGACTCTGATTAGAATCCTACTAAAAATTATGCCATAACATAAGTTTTCCATCCCTGTTATATGTATCTTCTAGACCAAGGGTTTTTAATCTTTTCCTCTGTTATAGACCCCTTTGGCAGTATATGAAGTCTACGGAACCTTTTTCAGAAGATTTTTAAATACATAAAATAAAATGCATAGTATCACAAGGAAAAGCAATTGTATTAAAATACAATTATCAAAATAACTTTTAAAAAACAAATTTACCAACCCCAGGTTAAGAACCTCTCACTGTCCCACCTTAAAGGAAATAAAACACAACCATTATTACCATTATGTCAAATGGTTAAAATAAACAACACTACAACCACTGACTTTAATTGCCAAATGACAGAAAGATTTTCTACACCAAGGCTTCAATATGGCAAGCCCTAAAATAAAACTGGATGGAATTAGAGACAATTCAGCATCCCTCAACTTTCTGAGGTTCAAAGGAAAGTGTTTAATACAACCCTTTGATTCTAATCCCAAAGTCTCTGGACAGAGCTTGCCTAAAACTGCCTGAATTTCTCAAATTCTAATCTCTCTGAAAACAGAGTGAACTCATTAGTCTGAATGGTGAGGTGGAAAGAACCCCGCACTTAGAGTCAGAAGACCTAGATTCAAAGTCTAGCTTTGCCCATTTACTGCCTGTGTAATTCTAGACAGTCCCATTGTATCCAGGACCATATCCAGTCAACTTGATCTATATCTGGCCAGTGGACCTAGATGGCTCTGGAGAAGAAAGTGAGGCTAATGACTCTGCACAACCCTCCCTCATTTAAATCCAATTCACTTACATGTCATGGCATCACCTACATGATGTCATGGTCCTCTTCAAGAATGAAAGACAAACAACAACCTTAGATAAATCATCTAGCACCTCTGAGCTTCAGGGCTGGACTAAATGACTTCAAAGGTCCCTTCTTGCTCTAAACCTATATTCTATCATCCTAGTATTAATGTGATCGATGGTCTTCAACTAGTTTGTGACTTCAGGGCTGGGTGAATACAAAATATAATGACTGACATTCCATTACCCCTTGAAAGAAGAAAATGATTTTTATATGGAAAGAATTAAATAAGCCTGAGAACTGACCAGAAGACAAGACTAAAAGCATGAGACCTGAGCTACTAAGTAATATACCTTGGATTTCTAAGTTTTATCTCTTCTAGTAAGCTCAAAGTACCTCATATATAGTAGAAGTAGGAGGAGATTCTATCACTGCCAACTCTCACAGCCACTCCTAGCTATCTTTCCTATATGCCTTTGCTTCTAGATTGGAGAGAAAAAGGGGACCATGAATGGCTACTAGGATCCCCTCCATTGTCCTTTCCAACCCTGGTGCTGCAAAGAACATCTTCTGCCTCAACAATTCTGTTCTAATTGTGGTTCCTGCCCACCATTACTCTAATTCCATCAGAATCAAGATTCAGTGGGGTCAGGAGTCCTTAATGAAATCGTATCACCATATCTAAAAACTCAGCAGAATGCACTTGATGGCATTAAATACGAAATTACTGGAAATCCATACTGTCCTTCTTAACTTTGTTAATGAAATATTCATTGAGCCTGTAACATTTCAGGAGAAGCTGATTTGGTATGATTTATTTGCCAACTTTACTTGACACTTGAGCTGAGGGCACTAAGCTTGCTGGGCCTCTATACTGACTGACATACTCTCACTTAAGCCTGGGTCTGTAGGCACTCAACCAGTTTTTTAAAGTAACTGAGGCATTCATCGTATTGTCAAGAACTTTGCTTAGTGGGAATTATGTCTCTTGGAACTTAATGCAAGAGGAGGACAACGATTAAAATATTTCATATCTTGAATTTTAGCAACATATACACCCACAGCACTAGAGCTTGCAGTACATACCTTCCGTGCATTGGATGATATGGTGTTTGCCATTAGGCTTTCCAAGTAGCTGCCTAAGCTAAATCCCTTCACGGTGATGACTGCTTCATGTGTCAGCACCGTCCTAAAGAGGAACAAACCAAGAAGAATTCACTGGCATTCAAAGAGACAATGTTTCTTCCCCTGTCCTCACCCTCCAAATTTGATTTGCAAAAGTTACGTTATGATTACTTACATTTCAGGGTTGTCAGGATGAGGTGTGTACACCAACCTCTCATTCACCGACACCAAATTTGTGAGTGTGATCTTTAAAAAACAAACAGCAAACTTCCATTTTTAAAATTCCTCTTTGCAGCTCCTCCCAAGTCATAGTTCATCAACTGCCTATGCTCTGTCACTTTAAATAACAGTATGTACTGGCACCAGAACAGAGGCAGCATCATGATTTCATATATAAATCCTCTTTCTATTCTTTTTTGTATATGGAAATGTTCACATTTGTTGGTGTTTGCTAAGTTCAAAGTAACAAAAAATAAAAATTATTTTATAAAAAACATTTTTATCAGGGACTTGAATAAAGGCATAGATGGCATGATTATCAAGCCACCAGATGAAACAAAGCTAGGAGGGATCACTAACATGCTAGATGACAAGAGTCAGAGGCCAAAAAGACTTTGAGAAACTAGAACACTGGGTCAAATACAATAAGAAAAAAATTAATAGAGCTCAGTGTCTATAAAGTTTTATATAGCTACTGGGGGGGGGGGGAAAGCCCAACTTCAAAAGGACAAGATGGGAGAAACAGAGCTATGTAGCAGTTTAGCTAGAAAAGATTTGGGGATTCAATGTAGTGGTAAGATCAGCTGATGTGATAGGCAAAGATGCAAATTTGACCTTAGGATACATTAAGAAAGACATAGTTTCCAGGACTGAGGAGGTGAAAGTGCTACCATACTCTGTCATATTCATTCCCCATCTGGAAGATTATATTCAATTCTTGGTACCACATTTTAGGAAGGACACTGATGAAGCTGAGGATGATAACTGATGATATCAGTAATATTTATACAGGAATCTAAGGCTATAAAGTGCTTTGAATACATTTGCTCTTATGAGTCACACAACAAACCCTACGGGTTAAATACTGTAGTTATTAAGGACAGGCATAGGCCTGGATTTGCTACTTCACTGGTATAAGGACTTCCCAAATGAGGGAACTTCCTCTACCAATAAAGTTGGCATATTTTTTGCAACTGAAGAGAGCTGCCTGGGAGCACTAAAAAGTTGAGTGATTTGTCCAGAATCACATAGCCATTAGAAACTTTCAAGCAAAAGACCTGGTAGGAACATGAAGGAGATTCTTGTTCATGTATGGGTTGGACAAGATGGCTTTGGAGGTCCCTTCCAATTCTGAGATTCAGAGATTCTATAATCTACAATTACTACACTTGGAACTATCAGACTATAAAAGTTAATAAGATCCTCTAAAATTTCTAATTTTATCTATAGTATTCTTAAATTCAATACTCCCATAAAGATGTGCACTTTTCATGGTTGGTCCAAAAGTAGGGATACAGTCATTTTTTTTTCTGCTTTTTCAGAAAAAAACAAATAACTGAAAACCAAGCTCATGCACTTTCCTCATGCTTTTGGTCAGAAGATATATAAGGCCACTGTTTTTTAAAAAAGTGAAACAACAAAAAGTAGCTGTAAAAATACTTATGAACATCTCTAGTCTGTTCACTATGAAGAAAAAAACCTTCTTAGGTCAAAACTTTGAGAGTGTTTTGGAAATAAAGTTATAAACTTTATTCTACAAAAAAATTAAGATCTTTTCCAAACTCACTTTATTAACTTACATTGGTAGAACACAACTCCATTTTCTTTCCCACTGGATCTACGACAGAATGCTCTTTAATATATGTCAAAGTCCTATTGGTTCCCAAGACCTGAAAGACAAAAATCCCTGAGTGTTGAAAAAATGCATGACTGAAACTTACAGAGAGAAGGCCAATGTGTCAGTATCCAAAAAGCAGCAAATACGTGAGAGCAGGATTTATATGAAGATAATAATCACGTTCTTAACTGTTTAACAGATGACTAACAACTCTGAAACAAGAGCAGTGACAAAGAAAGCTGTTAAAAAAAAAAAGAATAATTCCAAGTGAGAACTTACTGCTTTCACGAGAGCTGGGAGTCCCCACTCAGTACTGAGAAGACGATGGCTATGTAACCTGCCTCGGTTATCAAGGCTCCTGTCTAACACATCCACTCCTACTACACAAGGGTTCATTGGATTTGGGTATTTTCTCATAGCAGCTTTGATGACAGTGTCCCATGGATGGCTATGGGAAAAAAAGGCAATTAACCAAAATGAATTGGTACACCAGCATTTTTGAAAAATATGCTTACATGTGAGTGTGCTTGGACTATTAATATACCCGACTCCCAAATCAAACCTACAGATAGGAGTAGAAATAATAATAGCTTTAAGGTTTGCAAAGTACTTTACAAATATTATTTCATTTAATCTCTATAAGAACACTGGATGGTAGGTGCTATTATTATCACCACTTTACAGGTGACAAAACTGAGACATACTGGTTAAGTGACTTGCCCAGGGTCACACAGCTAGTAAGTGAGGCTGGATTTGAACTCAGGTCTCCTTGACTCCAGGTCCAGCATTTTCTCCTCTGTGCCATCTAGCTGGCAAATCCCATGAATAATAAGATGTTCCCTCTGCCTGTTATTTCTCCAATAAACTTTGGAGTTAGCATTTGTTTTATTTATTTTTCATTTTTATTGACATCTTTATTAATATTGATATCTTTTGTATATTCCTGTGTATGATTCTGTGATCCTGCTGTAAATAACACTAACTCTGGATTTTAGATTTATAGTTTTTATCACATTAAAATGATTCTTCTAGGGATAGCTAGATGGTACAGTGGATAGAGCACTGGCCCTTGAATTAGGAGGACCTGAGTTCAAATTTAGACTCAGACACTTGTTAGCTGTGTGACCTGGGTGCATCACTTAACCTCAATTCCTTCTAAAACTAAAATAAAAATGGCCCTTCTTTTGTTTTTGTTTGTAGGTTGTTTTTTTTTCCCTAAACATAAATAGGTGTTGCACTTGCTAAAAGTTTTTGGGTTTTTTCCCTAAGCCTACTGATATAATTATGTAGTTTGGATGTTTTTGTTTTTAATATGATTATGTTAATTGTTTTCCTAATGTTGAACCATCCTCATACCCTGGTATAAATTAATTTGGTCATAGTAAATAATTTTTAAAATATGTTACTGTAACCTTTTTGTTAAGATTTTATTTATAACGTTTTCATTAATATTTTCATTAGTGGTATTGGACTTTAGTTCTCTTCTTTTGTTGTTTTATTTGTCTCTGGTTCAGGCATTAGAGTGTCTTCTTTCTCAATTTTTGAGAGAATAATTTGTGTATCATAGTTTATTAACTATTCCTTTATATTTAATTATATATTCTTTTATACAGTATTTAGTTCCTTATTAGGATCCACCTCTAAATCCATCAGGATCAGGTTGTCTCCACTTGCTCCCTCGCTCCCTTTGGAAGCTCCTTTATGGCTAATTTAATTTTTTTTTTTTGAGATCAGCTTGTTTAGGAACTGTTATTGCCTGTTCTATTCACTTGCGTACTTTATATTTGTATAGGAAATCCTCCATTTCTTTTCATTTCTGTTTTGCTAACATATAATAATATAGATTCTGAAAATTCTCTTTCTTCTCCACTGTAAATGTTCCTTGTTAATTTTTTTTAATGGTAATTGGGTTTTCCTTCCTCTTCTTTTTTATCAGAACAGCTAAGGCTTTATTGATTTCATTAGCCTTCACGTAGAACAAATTTTTAGTTTTATTAATCTACATTCTTTTTGTTTTCCTACTTCTCATCTAATTTTCAGGATTTTTTTTTAGGAAGTATTCATTTATTGATTTTTCTATTTTTCAGTCCTCTGCTCTATTCATTGTTTTCTGAGATGTTATTTTTCTTCTTTGGATGATTTAGTGGCATCTCAAAAACGTTATCATTGTTAACATTTTCACATAATATAATATAATATAATATAATATAATATAATATAATATAATATAATATAATATAATATAATATAATATAATATAATATAATATAATATAATATAATATAATATAATATAACATAATACGATATAATACGATACGATACGATACGATACGATACAATACAATACGATATAATACAATACAATACAATACAATACAATACAATACAATATAATATAATATAATATAATATAATATAATATAATATAATATAATATAATATAATATAATATAATATAATATAATATAATATAATATAATATAATATAACATAATATAATATAATATAAAAGCTGCCTCTGATTTTTTCTTTATTCATTATTCAAGCTGTCACTATCATGTCTTTCTTCATTTAGGTTTGTATCTTTTGTTTGCGTTTCTTGTATTAATAACTTTTTATTGAATCACAGTAAGCAGTTTTCAAATGTATACCCATGAAAACTGCTAGTTACCCCAAAAATAAAACAAGGTCAAGGATAAAACATTTTAGAAATCATATTTTAAAGCACCCAAAATGGGTTCGAATAAATGTGACAGTTCATGACAAACTAGATATGAACTCATATTAATGTGCTACCAGTATGTCAACCTAACTCCCCTAACAACCCTCTGCCTAACTTCCCTGTTTCTGTCAAGGGCACCATCACCTTTCCTTCCAGCTACCCAGGCTCAAAACCTAAATGTCATCCTGAATCCTCACTCTCCCTCACCTCAGATAGCTAATCGGAGGCCAAATCATGTTTCTATCTCCGCAATATCTCTTGTCTATATCATGTTATTGCCATTCACATAGCTACAATCTTAGATCAAGCCCTTGTCACCTTTCACTTTGACAATTGCAGTAGCTTCCTAATCCATCTTTCTGCCTTAAGCTTCTCCCCATCCCAATTCATCCTCTACATAGCCACCAAAAAGATTTTTTCTATAAAAGGACTCACCATGTATCTTCTCTACTCAACAAATTCCAGTGGCTCCTATTATCTCAAGGATCAAATACATACTCCCCTTTTTAGAATTTAAAGCAATTCACAACCTGGCTTCAACATATCTTTCTAGATTTATATATTATTCTCCTTTACATACTCTGTGGTCCAACCAAACTGGCCTTCTTTCCAGTATCTCTTAGAATCCTGAGTTTCTGGGGCAGCTAGGTGGTGCAGTGGATATAGTTCTGGCCTTGGAGTCAGGAGGACCTGAGTTCAAATTCGGTCTCAGGCACTTGATACTTACTAGCTGTGTGACCCTGGGCAAGTCACTTAAACCCAACTGCCTCACCAACAAGCCAAAAAAAAAAAGAATCTTGAGTTTCTGAAATCCAGATTTCACTAGCAGATAGTGCCTCCCTTCAAAAATGTTCTAGTTGTTGATAGGTGGCATGGAAGGTAGAATGCTGGGCCTGGGGTCAGTAAGATCTGAGTCCAAATCCAGCTTCAGACACTTACTAGCTATGTGACCCTGGGGAAGTCACTTGACCAAAGTTTCCTCATCTATAAAATGAGTTGGAGAAGGAAATGGCAAACCACTCCAGCATCTTTTCAAAGAAAACCCCAAATGGCTCATGGAGAGTTGGATGTGACTGAAATGACTGAACAACATATACATAGATATATGTATATAGATATACATACATAGATACATACAAAAAACACATATTACATATACACATATGTTATATACACTTAAATGTATACATTTACTCTCCTTGTAGAATATAAACTGCTTACAGACAGGGACAGTTACTGTCTGTATCTACAATGCCTGAAAAAAATAAGCTTTTATTAATAAATGTTTGTTGACTGATAGATAAATCACGCATATCACTGTTGCATTTTTACAGCTAGGAAAAAAAAACTAGATGTTTGAATCAGCCACCTATTTAATGACAGGATCATAGCTCTAGAGCTTTCTAACTCAGAAACCATTTAGATCAGCCTCCTCATTTTGCAGAATGGCTAAGCTGCTGCCTGTATGGCAAAACTTTAAGCATCATGAGCTTGATCTGGATAGAGACTCCACCAGGCCAACTAGAATAGTAACTTTTATTTAGATTACCCTTAGGGGTGAAACCTAAAGGATCATGTAGGTCACATACCACAGTTGCTCAGCAGCTAGGTAACTGATTGTTGGGCAACTATGATTGATCAATAACTTGGCACTTTGGGTGTTAACAAATAAAGGAGTTCCAGTGATTAAGTTCAGTCAGTGATTACTACTATAGCTGGAACCAAACAGGACCTTTTGTTTAACCTGAATTTCTGTATAAAATATTTCTGCAAATTCCTACAATACTCACTCTAAAACTATACTTCATGAGCCCCCACCAGTGTGCTTCCTTCTTAAGTCAGCAGGTAAACAAAATTGCTCAAAGCAAAGGCACTTACTAAGAGGGCATTGTAAGAAGAACAGCTATAAAAAAAATTCCTCCTAAAAGCAGGGTGCATTCTCCTACAAACACACATAGCATCAGTAGGAAGAGTGGTCACAAATTTAGAGTATACTAGTAGAAAGGCATATGTGTGGGGAGCACACACAGTCAGAGTCACTCATACCTATAGTTCTACACTGCTTTACTTTAACGTCTACTTTCTCCACCTAGAATCCTCAAGAAGCTTCTCAAAGCACAAAATCTCTGCTAGTCAGATTCCTCCCCAAAGTCTGCTCCTCTCCAAAGGTCAGCTCCCATTTACTAGGGATAACCCTTCTTGAAGCCCTCTCTTTTCTACTGACATGAATCACAATCCTTGAATCTGCTCCCTCCAATAACTACCTCTCTATGTGTGTATCTGTTTGGAGGATGTGTGTCTCTGCTCCCTCCCGGAAGCAGTGTCTCCTGCTAGGGAGTAATTCTGATGCAAAAAAAAAAAATCCCCTCTCCCTAGCCCCACAGCCCTCTGGTGGAGACTCACACTCCATAAAACTGCTTCAACGGGTCAAATTTGACTGGTAGACCTACTTCAGGCTTAGCTATTTAAAGCCCTCTAGGTTCATGACCACTTTTTGGCTGCTTGGCCTAACCCATCCTGATTCAATAAAAAAAAAAAGGTGTTCACACTTAATAAGAGGATAACAGTGTGTTAACACCTCATTAATATATTAACACTTCAGCCACTAGGGATTACATACTGAGAGGAAGGAGAAATCAACTGTTCAGTGTTCAGTTCCCCCTCTTAACAAAACATTTCATTAACAGAATTGGATAAAGTAATAGGCAAAAGAGTCCTTAAGCT